TACTGCAATTTCTTTCATTTATTTTTATCTGTGGTCTAAAACTTATGTTTCATATTTTCCCCGATATGTTTTTATAAAATTAAATTACATATTTTAATTGAGCTCTCCCAGCTTTACGCTTTTCGGCAACAATGCAGGAAAAAATTACATTGACATAAGCCATCCCTTACTTTCTGGAAACTAATGAAACTTCTTATTTCGATGACAGAACGGATTTTCATGCTACTGCGCAAAATCGAAATAACGGAGGTCATAACGGAGAGCAAAATAAGAGCACTAAAAACTCTCTAACGCGTCCTCCAGCATGCTTCGCATAACTATTTAACCGTTATTAGCTCCACCTTTGAAAGATTACTGAAATCGGCAGGCAGAAAACCTTCCACGTCAATTATAGTCTAACTATAATATAAAATATAATAATACAAACAATAAACTGCGACTGGTCAGCTAGAGCCTTAAAGATGAATGCAATATGCGAGGACCGTTGCGTCGTCCGTCCGCGGACGTCAGTGCCGAAGCTGGACGTGTGTAATGTAACCTCGACGCGCGAGGGCGGTCGGCTACAGCACGCAGGACAGAAAATATCCCTTAAATTTCAAGTTATAGGAAGTAGAAGAGCTAAGTGACTACGGGAATCAAAATATGCCAAAGCACTCCTGCACAAAATTTTCGCGCCGCTACAGTTCAAATGTCTACCAAAAACGTTACATCTCATGTAGAAATCATGCGCTGGGAAAGTTGAAAAGTCACACCCTGCCGTAACAGATTCCAAGTTCTTTGTGTTTAGCAGATGTACAGCTTCTGACGGCGCCAACTACAGTTACCTACGGTAACCCTACAACTTGTCTGGTTTCTGGGCCACCAGACAGACTGACGACAGACACTGACATTACAGTGACTATGACCTAAAAGCTAAGGTCCTCCGGACCGCCTTGAGAAGCAACGACGAGAACTAGTACCGGTAACTTTCCGTTGTGCTTTGTGTGCTTGGTACACCAAGGACACTTTGGGGTACCTATATATAAAAAAAAATACACTTGAACAATGGCGGCGCGAAAATTTTGTCCAGGAGAGCTTTGACCTATTTTGATTCCCATAGTCACTTAGCACTTTTACTATTGGAATTATTCTTTTAGATTTGTCAAATATACCAGTTATACAGTTAAGTATATGCAAGTAAAACGTGGAGTATTCTCGACTATAGGAATCTTTCCTAATTCTACGCACCTTTTTTACTTATTTCACAAATAGATTTCCCCATATATTTGTCCTTAAAACTTATAACTATTTCCGATACCCGCGTCGAGTACACTGACAGTAGTAGATAAACCTGTCGCGAGCTAGCTGGTGTTGCTGGCTGTTTACTCATCGCAACGTTTATTGAGGAAAGGAGAGCAATTTAACTATTTAACTAAATTTAATTCCTATGTTCCTAGTTAACTCTTTTCTAGGAGTGGTTAACTTGTTCCGAACATATCTTTTATAAACTGATGAAAGTGTTGCGTGGGAAGTGCAGAGTTGGCTTATTTTTTCACATTTCACAATTCACATTATCGTATGGACGTTAGACGAGACAAAGAAGAATGTCTATAGACCATCTATCTGAACTACCCATTAAACAAATCAAGTAATTGGTGTAAATACTGACACAATCAACGACTTCTATTATATCAGCAGGTGATAAAAATATCAATACGTATAGTCAATTATTTTTTGAAATTCAATATAGATGTTACAGTTATTCTTCAGACTTTCGTTGTCGAACTTAGATTTACGGCATAGTTGTTGTTTTCTCAGTTTTCGAATCGGTGTTGATCGCATGTAAAAATGTTGTAAATCTTTGGAAAAAACTATATATGTTACATCGTAATTATCTTGATAATGTATGTTTGTACGAAACGAACAGGAATACAGGGCTGTACATATTCACGTGTAGTGCACAAGCTCTGTGACTTAATCGAATTCCAATATAGCAACATAAATAGAAACATACGCGGTGAGCATCGATCGACGCATTTTCTGGACAGGCTACAGGCGCACCGCTAAGCAAATATCATATAGGCGTTCATCTAACATATAGTTTAATCGCATTAGCAAATTTCCCCGAAATAATTGCCAAATCCGGTTTTATTGGTGCAAGTTGTTCAAGGGCGCATTTCAAACGCATAAAATGGTTACACCAATTTTTGTGGGAAAACTTTTTATTTGGCAACAAAGAATGAGAAAACGTGTTTTTTGGGATTCAGTCGAAAGTGTTGACAAGAACGAAAAAACTTTTTATGCAAGATTTTTAGGTATTTATGAGACCTACAGAATGAGACCACACGTGAAAATATCCGACTAATAGCAAAAAAGATCGCTAATGGCCGAAAAACCAGGCAAAATGCAGGTTTTGGCACTTGTTGGTAATGCGACGATAATTTTACGCAACTTCTTTAAATTCTTTAAATTCGCAGGATTCATACTTTTGAATAACAACATCAAAATTGGAGTATAATGGTCAAGTAGTTTTTTGAGAATCTCTAATTGTTTATCCCAAAACATCTGTTTTCCGGACATCACTACTAGTTTATTGAGCTATATACAGGATTATACCAAAGAGCATTTTTCATCAAAATACCCTAATTTACCTTGCCGATAAAAATAACATTTATCTTCCGGAATAGTTTTCGAGTCATATCGGCAAGGTAAATGCCCTTTGAACTAACCCATGTATATTGCTCAAAAAAAAACTGGTATTGATGTCCGGAAAACAGATGTCTTGGGATAAACAATTAGAAATTCTAACAAACTACTTGATCAATCTACTCCAATTTTGTTGTGGTTATTGAGAAGTACTGATCCTACGAATTTGAAGAATTTCAAATATCTGCGAGAAACCGTCATCGCATTACCAACACGTGCCAAGACCTGCAGTTTGCCTCAGTTTTCGGCGATGTGGTCTCATTTTGTAGGTCTCATAAATACTTAAAAATAGAGTTTTTTCTTCTCTGCCAATTATTTAGATTGAATCCCAAAAAACACGTTTTCTCATTCTTTGTTGTCGAATAAAAAGTTTTCCCACAAAAATTAGTGTACTCATTTTATGCGTCCATGTTTTGAATACCCCCTTGAGCAACTTGCAGCAATAAAACAAGACTTTAGAAGTATTTCGCAAACCATCGGTATTTTCGTCTATGATTAGACTTCGCTTCGCAACAACACCAACCACGAACAAAATCAGTCAAGCTTTACACACTTTTCAAATTACTATTGAGCAACAAACAGAACATAAATCACTTTTTAAGTGCAATCTGTATAGCTAATATATTGCTTAGACTTAGATTTGTCACAAGTCACAATACTTGTATATACGTATAAATCGTAAGAATTGTGCTGTAAACGTAAGGGACAGCCTTTGGAATACCAAATGATACCAAAAATCGCAATGCTCAGTTCCTATAGCTAATTATGTAGTCGGAACTTCAAACATCGTTTTTAAAAAACTTTGTTTGGTTCCAACAATAGTTTACATGGACCAAACCGGAATTACAGTGTGTGTATTCGCTGTGACCGAGATTGAATGACTGACTCATATTTAAGATACAATCGTTAATATAAACCAAAAGTGATGAGCTAGTAAAAAGGAATACAATGCAATTATTATATCAATTAATAAAGTGTTAAATGACAGCAACATAACTAGCTATAACTTATAGTTAGTTTGCCTCTGCGGCCATGATGTGTCAGAAAGCAACACAATGGTGGATTTCAAAAGCAAGTGTCAGGCGCCCCCCCCCCCCTCTAAATCCGCCACTGAGAGAGATGGTTCCGACTTCGGGATCATTTCATACCTGACCAATTATACAACGTTTAAGCAAGTTTACGTATGAGAATAGAAAGTATCACTATATTATATTTAGTAAAACGATTTGAAGAAGTCAGTTTCGAACAAAGAAGGGTAATGTCTGAGATAATCAGTCTGCATTCGAAAACTGAAGAATGACGATTATACCTGGAGGACACTTAATGAAATTCTTCATTACAGTAGCAATTTCATTTTGCCTATCCCCTAAGGTCGTATCAATACTGGCAACTGTCTTTTCAAATGAGAGAAAGATGGTTTCAACTTCGGGAACATTTCATACTTGACCAATTATACAACCTTTAAGCATGAGCATAGAAAGTATTACGTATTACTATATTATATTTAGTAAAACTATTCCAAGAAGTCAGATTCGAACAAAGAAGGGTAATGCCCGAGATAATCAGTCTCTATTCAAAAATTGAAGATTGACGATTCATTACATTTACTTATTATACCTGCAGGACACTTAATGAAATTCTACGACATTACAGTAGCAATTTCATTTTGCACATCCCCTTCAAGGTCATATCAATACTGGCAACTCTTTTTTCAAATGAGAGGAAGATGGTTCCAACTTCTGGAACATTTCATATATGACCAATTATACAATGTTTAAGCAAGTTCAAGTAGGAGCTTAGAAAGTATTACTGTTATATATATATACGTAATATATGGTAAAACGATCCCAAGAAGTCAGATTCTAACAAAGAAGGGTAATGTCTGAGATAATCAGTCTCCATTCGAAAACTGAAGAATGACGATTCATTACATTTACTTATTCTGAAAATTTTATTTCTTAGGTCATCAACTCAGCCGTAATTTTTTTACATTACTCGGTTACATTCACTTGACTTTTTATCAAAAACATTTCTACCCCAAAAAATCAAAATAAGCCAAATAAAACGTATGAACAGATGCTGGTGAACGTATAGTTATTATACTTATGTAAAAATATATTTTATGGAAATATTCAGATGTATGATAGTAATGATTTTTGCATTAAATTTTTTTAGTAGACTCGGTAGTTTTATTTTTTGAAACCTTACATGATAAACAGTATTTTCATCATAAAATGAAGTTGTTTGTATCACACTGCACTTACCAACCATATTTACATTTTATCATTTTTCACTAATTCCTCATTTACTTTCAGTCTTAAGTTACCTCTAGTGCAATATTACACACATCATTTAGAAATTGCTTTGCCATATCTCCGAAGGTAAGTTTTTTGAGTTTGCTCTCAGCATTTTAGGCATGGATATTTTACAAAATAATTCAGTGTAAATATGATCTCATATGAAAATATCAATTAATATGGCCGATTCATTATCAGGAGTACTACGTTTCTTGTGTGTATTCTGTAGTGCTAAATCACAAAAATTATGCTACATACTGTAATCTCGTATTCTCAAGAGAATGCTTTGTCGTAATCGTATCCTTAAACTTTACTAAGTAGTGTGAACCATTGATTATTTAACAACGTAATCATGGCATTAGATATAGAAACCAAAAATGGCTTAAGTTAAAATCATAACTAATATTTTGAGCAGTTTAAAAATATGTCTTTAAAAGCACACATACAATTCATAATCAGTTTCACAAGTACTGCAATTGTTTTGGGCTTATAGATACAAACAATTGTAAATAGTTTTATACTAGCAGTACATTTTGAGATCTTATTCACACTCATTCTACCATCAACTACAAGACATAATGCAACTCTCAAATTATTTTTCTTTTTTCTAGATACAGGATTGGTAAGTTACCAATTTACGCAAACTTAGGACAACAACCGTACTATCAACGTATCAAAAAATTTTGTATGTGCTTGTTATATTAATTTTATTTATTTCCTCATTGATAGTTTTTCAATTTGTATATCACCTTCCAAAATTTGTACTGATTGAATGTTTATATAGCATACTTAAGTCTACATTGTTGTGTATCATATCGTTTTTCAAAAAACGTGTCTCTTGGACATTATAGATATAGGTTGTATTTTTTATATTTTCCATTATGTATGTTAAGAAACACTGTAATATTAGATTTGCAAACATATTATCAAACGTTTTTGTAAGAATTTATGTTCATTATTGTATGTAAATAATTCAAGGTGATAACAGCGACAGTTTTATAATTAATATAAATAATTGAATTGCTTTGCATCAACAATCGAGAAAAGTAGCCTGCAATAGTTTTTTAAACAATGCGAATTGCAGCATGCACATTTTGTATAATTAATACAAAAAAGCACGTATCAATGATCGCATCCTGCCACAAATTTCTATATTCTTTTCACGTTTTGTTTGGAGGTAATAATTCATTCAGTTTTGCAAGTATCGATATCTTCAAACATCACCTTTCCGAAAGATATTATTGAACAAGATATTAAAATATGTGATACGGGTTATCAGATATACCACTTTTTGAATGACCTAAAACTGTTGTTGTTTTGTCACCTGGTGTTATGTAGTTTTACGTTATCATATTCAAGTAGAAGAATACTGCCATATTTCATTGTGAGGTGCTTTTTATATAATTTTATTGAAATTAAGTGTACGTAAACCATATATTTATTTTCTATGTGATATTTATTTGCAATTTATTTATATTTTTCATTTAATAATGATGTATATATAAAAAACAAATAACGCTAACAGGGTATATTTGTTTTTGCGTTTTTGAAGAAATAGATGAATTATATTTTAGTTATTAATCATGAATTATTTGTGCTATTTTGTGGAATATACAGGGAAATATGTAGTCCAGAATTTTGAGTGTGACTGAGGGTACATAAAAGTATACTCATGAAATAAAGTTCGTCTGTAATATTCGTTGTTTGACTTTGACAACCACATTAATGTTCTTTCAACAAAATAAATTCGTTGCGTTTCTCGGGTTACAGTACTTCTCATGATTGCCTTGCTAACTGACCTCTGCAGCTGAATGGTACTAAACTCACAATAGACTTATTCTTTGCCAAAGAGTCGTAGCGTCTCTGTTTAGGGACGCTAGATTTTGGTGCATTCTCTAGGCTAGATCAATGGTTTTAATGCACGGGCGTATCTGAACATTCCCAATGCTAACCATAGCCCAACATCTGTAGGGAGCCCGATCTCAGAGCAAATGTATTCAGGCACTACTTCCGTCGATCTTCAATTTCAAGACAGCTGCTTCGAGCCCAAAATAAAAAAAGTTTGTTGGATAACCATAATACCCACCCACCACTAATCAAATGCCATGAAGGGGCCTGACTTTTCAGGTACGTCACCGTATATTTTTTAATCGACCCCACAACATCGACTAATTTCGATCTAGATATTTGCTAAATGAGCGAGCGAAGGTAATTCATCAGATTACATCATTTAATCCGCCTGTCGACAACAAATACTTACCTTTGAGGTGTTTGCCTAATAAACTTGAAGTTAATTTTAGTAAACAAAATATATCCTTAGGGGCATGTCTGAGGATCCGTAGGGCCGGCGGTGCAGGGGTCCCATCAGCCGGGAAACTGTAACTTCTAGACACTACCCACCTCTTCACCCACACGTCCTCTCCCTTCATCCGTTACGAGGAAAAAGCAGCAAAGCAACTGTTTCAAGGCCCGTCCTAATAAGGGCTCTAGTGTAGAGTTTGCGTTTGGAGAATCATGATGCTCTCGATATGTTGATGTTCAGCCAACGAAATAAGAGCAACCATGGTTATCTTTTTCATAACTTTTTAGATATATACTTTCCACAGTTTATGTCATGTCATGTATGTCATCGAAATTGTATAAAACTATCTGCAAATTCGTTAATATAGACACGATACAATCAGTAAAAGTTGAGTGACTTATATTTCCTATTTCATATTAAGACTAAGTTCGTTGTTTGAACCCTTTTTGTTATCTGTTTTTTTCATTATTTTGTGTTTCAGTGGTTTAATCAATAATCGGCAATAATAAAAATATTATGAGTCCTTCTCGATATGAGAAGCTTTAGAAATTATGCGGTACTTGCGGTTATCATGAACTTTTTGTAGTCAATATACGGCATCAGAATCAGAAAATCGTGGCAATATTTCGACTTCGACTAGCAGATAACTGTATCGACCCGAAATTTTGCACGTTTAGTTCTAATAAAATCTAATACTACAAAAAAAACTGCACTAGTGACATGGAAACTGGGATATTTTGACCGCTACCGAAGGAAAAATAATACTTTTTTAAGTCACTACCATGGGCGCTGGCGGCCCAAAGCATCAATTCAAATGAGATTATCAAAAAAGTAGTGAGAAATAGCGAGTTTATACATAAAAAAGTGAGTCAATTTTCTGAGAAACTGAATATCATAATGCCAAACAATATTTCGACTTCAGTTAGAAGATAACTGTATCGACCCGAAATTTTGCACGTTTAGTTCTAATAACAATTAATACTACAAAAAAAAATCGCGACTCAAACTGCATCAGTGACATGGAAACTGGGATATTTTGACCGCTACCGAAGGAAAAATAATACTTTTTTAAGTCACTACCATGGGCGCTGGCGGCTCAAAGCATCAATTTAAATGAGATTATCAAAAAAGTAGTGAGGAATAGCGTTTTTTTTTTAATTCACTAACGCTCTAAAAATGAATATTTCAGCCGCAGTAAAGAATCAACGTTGGCGGATTTTGGTTCTTGACATCCTTTGCGATCGGTTACGATGCCTAGAGTACGGAGACCTGTACGATTTCGTCAACTTAGTGAGTTTGATAGGGGCCGTATAGTGGGATTTCGGGAAGCTGGACTTTCTTTTCGGGCAATTGCAGTTAGAGTGCAAAGAAGTGTAGACACTGTGGTTAGGTGTTGTCAGGCATGGCTTCGAGAAGGCCGTACGCAAAGGGCAAGGGGCACTGGACGCCGCCGTAGAACAACAGACCGTGAAGATCACCGCCTAAGATTATTGGCCTTAAGGGACCGTTTCTCCACTACCAGGTCCATTGCAAATGAATGGTTTGCAGAACACGGAAGACCTATTGGCATGCGAAGTGTTTACCGACGAATGAGAAGTTTTGGCTTGTTTTCATACCGGCCACACTGGGTCCTCCCTTTAACTCGAGAACACCGACGTAATCGCCTTGAGTGGTGCAGACAACGGTCACTCTGGGATCAGGAATGGAACAGTATTGTCTTTAGTGACGAGTCTCGATTTTGTTTAGGCATGCACGATGGTCGTGCCATGGTTAGAAGGCGACGTGGTGAAAGGAGGAATCCACAGTTTTTTGTTGAAAGACATGTTCATCACACTGTTGGAGTTATGGTTTGGGGTGCTATAGCTTATGGTTCCAGGTCAGCTTTAATCTTCATCAGAGGTAACATGAACGCGCAGCGTTATATACACGAGGTTCTAGAACCCCATCTTTTACCCTATCTTGACACCCTGGCAGATCCAACTTTCCAACAAGATAATGCCTGACCACATGTTGCAAGAGTCACAATAGACTTCTTTCAACATAATGATGTCACATTGTTACCATGGCCACCAAGATCTCCCGACTTATCCCCAATTGAGCACGTGTGGGATATGATGGGTAGGAGATTGCTCAATTTGCAACGTCCTCCTCAGACTCTAGAAGCACTTCGAGAGGAGTTGGTGGTTGCCTGGAATGAGATACCACAGGAGGACATTGACCACCTGATCAGAAGCATGCCTAGGCGCGTTGGAGAATGCGTAGCACATCAGGGTGCATCCACACATTATTAAAGGTCAAAGGGCTTTAAAGCAGTGCAATCATTTTGAAATTTTTATCATTTACTTATTATGCTTCATTAAGTACTTTTACAAAATTTCATTAAAATAAAACCATTTAAACTGGGTGTTCGGATTTATATGTCACTTAGTATAGTTATTATATATGAGCATTTTTTACACAATAGTTGTCTAAATCATCAGGCTGTAAGAATAGAATACCCGTCATTAGGAATCAAGCGAGGCTCTATCCAATGGGTTCCCATGGCCACTTCCTGGCTTCATCATCATATATTCATAAACATATTGCATTGTCAATTGTCATTTTGAACGTCTGTCATGTTATATTAGATTGACGACACTTCGCTGATTGTGTTTCTTTCATCATTCCCCCATAGGGGATCCAGAATGACGTCGCTTATTGTATCTCTCTCATCAAGCCCTTTCATCTGATGTCCATATTATAGTGTGACTTTGAAAATTGTAAATCGCTAAATTGCGGCCTCCGTCATATTGGATTTATAATGACGTCAGTTTGCTAATTATGTTTCTCTCATCAAGCTCTTTCATTTGATACCCATATCATATACTATGGAAATGATAAATCGCCATTATGTAGCATACGCCATATTAGATTCAAAATGGCGTCAGTTAATTCATTATGAATTGTCACACGAACCAGACAGGCATACAGAATTTCAGGTGTATTGGTTAAGGTTCATTGGTTCAACGAACTAACATACTAACAGTTACTTGTACAAGGCTTGTAAAAATTCCCACTGTTAATGCAATTTATATTGAAATCTCAGCTCAAATTAAGCCAGGAGAAAATGAAGACGGTTCTGGGTAAATTCGTATTTTCTGTCTGTCCAAAAATACTCTGAATTGCTAAACTATCTAAGTAACATTTTATTAGTTACATATATGCGCAATGTTGCCTTCATAAACTACTTTGTAATGTATTGCTTATCGTTTCCGAATTTGAAATCCCAGTGCATATACGAGCCTCTTCCCACTTCAGTTGGCCCTCTTCAAGATTTGTACCAAAATATGCCTTAATAAACTAAACATTACGAAACTATTTACTTCTAAAACAATTTATTTTCTCAAAAACATTTTAGATACACTCTAGTTGTAAAAAAATACATATTTGAAATCACTTAGACCTATAACTAATAGAACATCTGAACAAATATACAATGTGCGAATAAATGCGCGAAATTAACAAAGCAACAATTGAAAGATTACCATTGGGTAACATCACCTTTATTTTTTATTACGGCTGAAATTATTTGGGGCATAGTGTTAACCAAGTTTTGGCAAAAATTTGGTGTAAAACAATCGCATATTTCTTGAAGCTTTTGTCTCAGTTCGGTGATTGTACGAGCAGGATCTTGTTGTAGAACCTTTTTCATCTCGTGCCACAAAGTTTCAATAGGTGACAGATCTGGACTGCTATTTCAAAAGTGGTACATTATTTTCTTCTATCCATTTTATAGCCTTTTTTGAGGTATGGCACGCTGCACCATCTTGCTGAAACACAAAATCTTGGCCGGATGTCAAACATTCTTCCATCACTGGTAAAAGCGATTCTTCTAAAATTGCCAAATTTTGTTTATATCCACATTTCCATCAATAAAATGAAGTTTTCCTACTCCTTTTGATGACATACTGCCCCAGACCATAATGGATGCTGGAAATTTCACTTTTCTCTTCAGACAGTCAACATGGAATGCTTCATTTTTTTTGCGAATAACTCTACTGCGACCGTCACCAACACAAACTTCGAATCGGGCCTCATCACTCCATTGCACACCATTGTTGAGGTGACCATTGTCTATGTTCTTTAGCCCATCTAAGTCGATTTTTCTTTTGCAGTGGAGTTAATAGTGGCTTTTCTTTGGCCTATAAACAAGTTGTGCAACTTTAGGTTTTTTACTTCACTTTTTTTTATAAGAAAACTTACCTTGCAAGTGCTAAATCCCAGTTTGTGGGCCTCTCTATGAGTTGTGGACCTCGAAATTCTCCTTCCAACAGCGTCAGTCCACAGAGCACTTAATTGTAAATAATTGGCACGCCTGTTTTTCACGATTATTCTTCTTAATGCTCTTCGGTCGG